AAAATTTAGAAAAGGTATATAAAAAAGGGACATTATACAAGGATATTAGAAAGCTTAACAAGGTTTCTCAACGTCAGTTCACAAACGCCGTACTGAAGTTGTGTGTTGAAAACCCAGCCTCAGTACAAACATGCTAATTGAATGATTTAACATCGTAGGGCACCAACAGGGGAAATGCCATGTTATACGCATTTCACTGAGTCACAGTATTGTGAAAGACTTACTTACTTGTGGCATATTTAAATATATTTATAAAAACATGCAACTTTACTTTGCAGCATTAAAATTTTCCTTCTACTTGGACGCTCAAATCCAAAATCAGTATAAAGGTCAAAAGGTCAAATAAAGATAATATAATTAGTAGCCCAGTTTCATCCAACCGGATGGTTTAGGATGAAGGGCCGCTGGAAATTAGCACCCCCCCCAATGTCATTTGTGATTTTGGTGAAGAACTTTTGTCCTTAGAACTGATCTCAGAGCATATTACGGAAACTAGCCAACCAACAATTTAAAGCTTCAGTTTTTGCTTGAAGCGATCCAAAATTAGTGAAATTTGGTTATTTTATTTTCAGCATTGGCACGCTGGTTAGCACAGTAGCCTCATAGCAAGAAAGTCCTGAGTTCAGTTCCACCATCAGTCTTTCTGTGTGGAGTTTGCATGTTTTCCCCGTGTTTGCGTGGGTTCTCTCCAGGTACTCTGGCTTCCTCCCACAGTCCAAAGACATGCAGTTAGTGGGGATAGGTTAATTGAAATCTCTAAATTGCCCATAGGTGTGAATGTGAGCACAAATTATTGTCTATGTCTATGTGTTAGCCCTGCGACAGACTGGTGACCTGTCCACGGTGTACCCCGCCTATTGCCCCGCAACCCTGAAAATGGATAAGCAGAAGTGAATGGATGTATATTTCAGATGCATTTTAGCCATAGACCCTATAGACAGATATATATTTGGATATAAAGAAAATTCTGGAAATGTTGTCAAATAAGCAACAAAAAAGGCTTCAAAGCTTTCAGTGTTTCAATGTTTTATTGAGAACAATAGGTCAAATGACTTTTTGTAATATGAAAGAGGTTACCATTAGGAGATCACAGTGCAAAGAATAACTTAATATTTCCATATTAAGGAAAAATATTTCAAAGGAAAAATAGTAAAGCTTTCTCTCAGGGTCACAAGTTAATGTTACTGAACATATTTGGCAGGTTAGTTAAATCTTGTAAAATAGATTTTGATAGTCATGGGACTTCCTGTTGAAATAAAGGTCATGAATAAAAAAAAGGTCTTCCAGTAACTTCAAAACAATGCACTGTAACCACATTCACTGTTGTATGTTATACTGTACCATAACAGCTGCTGTTGTTATAGTATACACTATAACAAAGGGCCTGTTGCAAATGCTTCACATGCACAAAATCACAAATATATGTTTGAGTATATATTCTATTCTGTTATTACAGTGACACTATAAAAAAGGGATTTTTAAAAAAAAACACTAGTATTGAACAGAACCATCTTTAATGCCACTGTTGAACTACATTAACATAAACTGTGTAGGATTTATACTCATTAGCTTTGTGTGAGCTTTTACAGGTATTTACATTTACAGGTAATTATTTCTGTCAGTGTAAACTGGTTTTAGTCACATGCTTCATATCTTAGTATCAATATGACAGTGGCCAAAAACACATGTGCGCTACTGTGTAAACAACAGTCTGAACAGACTGAACACAGAAGTCATGAAGCAGCTATGAAACAATTACTCAAACTGCTCACTGTGTGACACAATCAGAGCAAGCACTGAGGCCTTTTTAACGTATGCAGACTACAACCCAAAATGCACTGGTTCAATCTTCTGCTGTCACTCGTCGATAAGTAATATTTCTTCATACATCAGTAATATTTATTCTAATAGTTAAGAAAAGAGTCGCCGAAAATAACGAGCGCTGGCTCATTCTCATGGTTCCAGAAGGCAGACGGTGCGTGACAGGACATGCGAGCACTGCAGCATGCAACACGCAGAGTTTGAATTTGAATCTGTTCAGATTATAAAATGTACCAATTCACACCTCACTGGTTGAATGCTCTAAGTTAAGACTGATACTTGCTGAGCTTCTTCCTTTTTAATCAGCACCTTGAATTTGCAAAGTCATTTGTCCGCTAGTCTTTAGCAGGTACCTTAACAAAACCTTTTGGAAGTTACGGCTTGTGAGACAAGCAGAAAGTCTCCTGTTAAGACCAGCTGGACACAGTGCTGCACAGTTTATTGCATGGCTGTTTAACCTAGATTGTATTTCAGACATGGGAAGAATATGGGAAACATATATGCCATAAATATGCACAACATCATGTAAAAGTCAAATTATTGGAGATTATGTATCGGGAGCGGGACCACGCCTCCAAACACGCTCCTTCCGGTTGTCATCTATATAGGTTCCCCCCCAGTTCTGCAAACTGTTCATTTTCGTTTACGTGCCCCACCCTCCCTCCCTCCTTGCTCTCAATTCTTTAACTTCTTCACTCCTATTTAGTACATGGGGATCTGCCAGGCCCGGGAGCTGTCGCCAGTCCTCTTCGAGGCCTTCCCCAAACCGCAGCTCAATTCATGTCCAAGTGTTCACCTTTACCTACTAAAATGCTGTCAAACCTAAAATGAGGACGTGGGCCCAGCTAGTGAAAAGAATGTAAATCATTAAGCTAGACCCCCTGTGATCGTGTTAAGGATAAGTGGAACAGAATGGATGGATGGAGTGTGAGTGAGGGATGTGTCTCGACTGCAGGCAGACCAGTTTATTTTATTTCTCTTTTAACTTAATTAATGAATTTCAGTCATTTTTGTGTGTGTTTTGTTTTTGATCAGCGCCTGTTGTGTTAAATATGCAATATAAATAAACTGACCCATGTTATGTTGTAATAAGAGTAAAATATGGTTTGCCACCATCTGAATGGCCTCATATGTTGCACTAAAACCTGTGTATATCGTTCAGCACTGATGGTGCCCACACAGATGTGCGTGTTTACCAATGCACCTTCTTATCACCGTGGATGCTCACTGTGTGCTGATGGCAAACCCATTCCTTGATAAATTTATTTATTTTAAACTCTTTTTTTCTTTTTTGGGGGGTGTAGTTCTCCGTCTCAGTCCATCTTAAATGACCACAGAAGGCAGCAGCGTTTCTGAGCCTGAGGGTCTCTATTTTTCTTTTGCATGGTAGCGTTTAAATGACATCTGCACAGCAGCGATGTTCACTGCGAGTTATCAGAAGTGTGTCTGAGCAAATGTGGTGATTTCCTGTCAAAATCCTGTTTGCTTTGCCTCATATGGATGCTGTGAATCTTATAAAGACATAATATATCATGGGAATATGTAGTTCTACATTTGAGAAGTGTACAAGCAGACATTGACAGAATGGTGAAACTGCACGTATCCTTTCTTCTAAAAGCCAAGCCTTAATATCTATGGGATGATATATCTTTTTTTCTAAATATCTATTCACGTTACTAATTAACTTTACTAGTTATGAGACGTTCTACTTGGTATGTTACACAATCTTTTCAGCCTTTTGTTGGCCCTGTCCAAAGTTCCAGACACTAGTCACGCTATTTGGCAGCCATGTTAATGCATCTGGGCAACTACATGTTTTAAAGCATTATATATGGTTACTTTAATTTACTTTACTTTAATTTTTATGGAGTTTAAAAATTACGTGTATGAAAAATGCTTTAAATCCTTGCTGTTTCCCCTGAAAGTTGAATATCTTTTTACATCTTTGCGATTGCTGAATTCTTCCAAAGATTTCAATTTAGGATTCTTGACTGCCATCTCTCTTTATTATAATGTTGCTGCCTTGTTTGAACTTTATAAGTCATGATGAGCTTATATACTAAAAAAACACACACGTTTCACATATGATATATATATCATATCAGATATATGTACTGTGTTTATTTTGTGTCTAAATTTAGTTCTTTACAATACAAAGAAGTATATCTTAGAAAAAATAAATAAAAATGCAGTTACACTGACAGATATGCATCACAAGTCACAGTAGCTCTACCAAATGACACTCATACAATAAACATTCTTAGTCGAGAAAGTTTCACTTCCTGCCTGGTTAAACCAAGAAACAACCTCAGGGTCCAGCTTTAAGTCAGCTCCCATGTTAAAATGTCTAACTTTACAGCAGAAATAAACATGTTTACTGCCTGATACAAAAAAAACCACACCTTTGGTATCCATGGATAATTTCCTCCTTCATAAAAACTATGAATTTTCATATAACTCATCCATCTAGAATCTACAGTTATGAGAATAGCCACTTTGACTGACAGGTGTGCATGTAGAAGACGCTGACTAGGCCTTAGATCCTGTAAATGGAGTGACCAAACTGAACTGCTGTTAGTGCTGTTAGTGCCTTTTGGAGCATTTTTAATAGAAAAATATTGTGACTTTATAGGTTTCTTAATTTGCACTAATTAGCAGGTATCTGTGTGTATCTGTATTGCATCCACACAGCTTATGAATGATACTTAATAATGAAGCTAGTTAGCATTAGCTGATAACTTTGCACTCCATCCTGTCATCCAAATATGCTCATTTGTGTTTCCAAAACAAATAAATAGAAACAAGAATAACATAAAGGTGGCCAAAGTACTAACAATAGCCAAGCCCATCTTTTATGTACAGCATATACATAAGCGTTGAAGTATCGAAAAACATCAAAGGGAGGAGAGAAAATATAAAAAGGTAACTTTAGCTAATGCTATGTCTTCTTAAAATCCCAGTGCTTCTATAATAATGACCCAGAAGATCACAGGTCTTCCAAACTTACACATTTGTTTGGACCTCTGGCTTGTACCTCCTGTCACATCTAATGTCTAACTTATGTGATTACCTGTGACAGGTTAAGTAATCATCTCACACTTTGCAAAGGCATCCCGTGGGCTGGACTGGAAAGCATTTGGAGTGCTGGTTCTGGCCCCCATGTTTCTTTTGTAGTGATACAGCCCGTGAGAAAATCTGGGATAGAATCTAGGCTGTCCCATATTTTGTATTGTCGGCTGAAGATGAGCTTGACAAAGTTTTGTGTTATTTTTAAACATTTTGTATTTATCTGTTTTTGGTGATGTCAGATACTAACAGGCAGAGGTTGTTGTTTCTGCAATATGACAACAACACCTCGAATAAAGAGAGTGAATTATGCAAACAAATACCACAAGTTAAACCGGACCCTTATTTGGAGGGCCACTTCTGGCCCCCAGGCCACATGTTTGACACCAAATCACTGCACACTCTTCTTTCATTTACATTTTAAGGGTTCTAAGTATCGGTACGTTCAATTTTTCAGTATTTATTAGGATGACAGTTTATTTGAGGAGAAAGCCTCCAGCGTGGACCTTTGCCTGACTGCAGCGTGCAGCTGTGCGCACAGACCGGAGATGTGTGCGCACTGAGGGCCGTGCTGTTTTGGCCTGCTGCCTTACATGGGCAAACCTCTGAACTGACTCAGACGAGCTGGAATTTCAGCGTGACGTCACTGCCTACAACTCTCCCAGAATTTGGATCAAGTAGTTTTCACTGTTTTTGGTGGGATTTCAGCCCCTGTGTTAGGTTTCCTAGAAAGCGAGGTAAGTGAAACTATACGTCGCACCTTTTCAAACATACGGGCGGTTTCCGGTGCAGTTTGACGTGTTGCTGTTAAAAACCCGGCTCTGGAGCAGTTCGTGCTCACTTTGTTCGGCCTTGTTGGGATGTAATGTGGATTTTACTGCAGCTCGGACGGGTTCACAGTGAGGGCGTGGACTCTGTACCAGAGCCCGGGCCGGTAGGACTGTGACACGGGGAAACTAACAGAGCTAACTTGTCGCTAGCTAGTGCCGAGCTGGACTCAGTCATGCACAGAAAACACGTTCAAACACTGTGAAGCGGCTCATTTGGCTAAACGAGACTCGGGGCGTCTCTGCGGGGCTCCTAGATTTAGCACAGTGGTTTACTGCAGAGCAATGCGGAAGACACCAGAGCCCCCACAGAGCCCTCCATCAGAAGGGAAACATGTCGCTGCTTTTTACTTTAGAGCGCCCAGAAACTTCCGTTTACTAAAAAATAGTTATTTGTATCGTCACTGTTGCTGCTTGTTGGACTCGTTTGCCTCGAATTCGCCACGTTGTTCGAGTACTTTTCATAGCCGCGTGTGTTACAAAGTAACACATCTGTGCTTTGTTGGCGTTATTGCTACAGAAGTATCCTTCACAGCAGGGGAGTCAAACTTTTTAAAGGCGAAACAATAAAAAAACAAAACAAACAAACCCAACAACAACAACTATCAATGCGAATCTGTGTTCTCCACTTTGGAAAGAAGCCTTTATGTTGTCGCTGATGACGTCAGTGACAATTTTGACTGTACTGTCAGGTGACGGTACTTTTGAGCGTGGACACATTCTTTTTTCGCTTTAGCATAAGCGCCACCACCTTATAACGTCTATGCATCCCACTATCACCCATCCTGGTTGGATCATCTAGTGGGCACTTTGAGCTCAGTTGGGGGCCACTCGAGGGAAAAAATAACAAGAAAGAAAATAAAGTTTTTATAATTAAACCATACACCACTGTCAGTTCAGTTTTATTTCTATAGTACCAAATCACAACAACAGCTGCCACTAGGTGCTCAGTAATGTAAGGTAAAGACTCTGCATTGATAGAGAGAGAACCCTCTGTAAGTAAGCACATGGCAGCAGTGGGAAGGAAAAACTCCCTTTTAACAGGAAGAAACCTCAGTCATAACAAGACTGGACGCAAGGCAAAGGGGACAGGATAAAAGACAGAGAGCTGGAGATTAAATTAAACTGATTAAATGTGAAGTGGCGAGAGAGTGGTAAAGAAACACTCAGTGCATCATGGGAAACTTCCAGAAGCCAGGTTTATTGCAGTGTAACTAAGGGAGGGTTCAGAGTCCCCCGATCTAGCCCTAACTACGTGCTGCACCAAAAAGGAAAGTTTTAAAGTGAAACTTTTAAAGTAGAGAAGGTTTCTGTGTCCTAAATCCAAACTGGAAGCCTGTTCCACAGAAAAGAGGTCTGAAAATGAGAGGTCTGTCTCCCATTCTACTTTTAAATATACTAGGACCCACAGTAAGCCTGCAGTCTGAGAGTGAAGCACTTAACTGGGGGGGGGGGGGGGGGGGGAGATGATACTATGAGATAAGACATGGCCCAATGATCCATCACTTTTTCATCTATTACATTATTTAAATGAAGGAATATAGTACAAAAGTCAATGTTATGCCTGCCTGCCATGGGGATTATGTTGGATTTATGGTTTTATGGTGGTGACACATTGTAACTGCAGACATTTATGAAGTCCAACCTTGTATGCACTTTCATACACATGTATCAGTGCAGCCTGCATTCACTGCGATTGGCCTTTTGGCCACCACTGTCGTCTGCTACGTGTTTCCAGCTTCTGCCGCCATTTTTCCCATCAACTGGAAGAGAATGAATCAACTTGAAGAGACAATTAGTTTGTCTTTCGTAAACAACACAGTCAGGCATTGGTGTAGATATTTATTGAGACTGGGAAGCTCAAGTGACTGTTTGTTAGCCGTTTGTGTAATTATTTTACAGTTTGGAACTGAATGTATCAATCGGTCAGTTTTCTAATGCTTATATCCGGGTCCTGGGTCACAGAGGCAGCTCTCCACGCAGAGATGTCCAGACCTCCGTCTCGCAGCTACCTCCTCTAGGCTGTGGTAGGCTCTGGTACTGACACTTAGACATAATCTCCACAGTTTGTCTTGGGTCTGCTCCAGAGTGTCCTTCCTGTAAGATATCTGAAACATTTCACCTCTGAGGTGTCCAGGAAGCACTTAGTCAGTTGTCTGAGCCACTTCAACTGACTCCATTTGATGTGGAGGAATATCAGCTCTGCTCCGAAACACTTCTGAGAGACTGAGATCCTCACCCTTTCTCTAAGGGAGAGCCCAGACATCCTCCAGGGAAGGCTCATTTCTGCTGCACAGACACAAACTAGGCAGGTTAAAAGTCCAGTATCGATCATAATGAATAAAAATACTGCATCATTTCTTCTTCTTAGAAGCATAAATGAAAGCATTTTATGATCATGTGTGATTGCCTCTCTATAGTCCTGTATTCCTAATCTTCTGTTGCAGCACCAGTTAAAACTGTTGCCTGTCATTCCAGCTGCATATCTGTTTTGTGATCATCTTTGGGTGGGATATATACTCCTGTTATGACCTGGACAAAATGGATGAATAAATCTGCTTTGCATTCCCACATAAATTCCTTCTAGATTGAAGTTTTGCAGTGCATAAAAACCAACAAAGTGGAACTTTAAAGGCTAAGTCCCACATCTACTTCTCTATAATTCTGCTGTTGTATGGTTTGACAGGATGATGGTTTTAAAATGCAGATGCAGTGTATGTAAGATTGTTTCATGGTAAATGTATGGGTCTCTGCTTTTTACATTGTGTGTTTAACAGCCTTTTGAAAGGGTTTCAGACTCGCATAGTCACAGGTGACGCAACATCTCCAAAACGGTTGTTAACTGGTGTTGTACATCAATAAAATATGAAGAATTAGTTTACCCGACTAATATTTGTATCGGTGACTGGACAGGGCAGTAACATTCAGTTGTCAGATAATAAGTCATGCACATCCATATAGTGTACAACAAGCCAGGCTGTAAACCAGAGAGGAGTGCTTGTGCAAATAGTGGCCAGAGATATGGACTTTTCCCTTGCAGATATGTTTAAAAATGTTTGGTCTGTTGACGTAACCAGTACTGAGGCAATACCTCCGTATTTTGCTTCAAGATTTCCTCAGAAAGTTGACTAAACTGAACCCTTTTATACCTAAATGGATCTGACGTCATCTTCCTCTTTGTGAGTGAAACAAGAATCTTGGTCCAGGCTGTAGGTATTGTTCTGCCTTGGAATGAAAAATAAATCTCACTTTCTTCTTTAAAAGACTGAATTCAAACTTTGACTTGGATGTGAATTTCAAATCAATAACACCAAGGTCCCTTGGGAGAGCTGTCATCAAACTGAATACATCTGCGTCGCTCCGACACATTTTCTACTCAGGCAACATTAAACGAAACTGTCTTTAAAATCTCTAGCTAAAAAGAACTCGTTTGACAGCGTTGATGATGTTAAACTTAAAAGATGAGTGGCTCTGCTGCCTTTGAGCCTTGGCCCCCCTGGTAGTTTTAGTCAAGTTATTCCACTGTTTGTGTTTCTTGACATATTTTAATGAGAATGTCCTTCTCTGAAAGAAACTGCACCAGTTTTTCATACTCACACAGTAGTGTTTTCTCTTTTAGAAAACACTACCTCTATAAGCTGTGATAAACCAAGGATCTTCTAAGGCTGTAGATAGTTAATTACAATTAGTGTTGTTATGAATGGCGGTTAGCTTTGGCAAGCTGATCCTGGGTTCGAATCCACCATCAGGCCAGAGCCTTTCTCTGTGGAGTTTGGATGTTCTCCATGTGTCTGTGTGGGTCTTCCTCAGTACTCCGGCTTCCTTCCACAGTCCAAAGACAGCTTTCACTTTGGGTTCTTGGCTAGCTTAGTGTTAGCATTGGTGTCTGGCTAGTCTAGCATTAGTATGTTCTCTGGCTAGCTAAGTATTAGCATGGTGTCTGTGCATAAAGCCGAAGTTGTGTTAGCAGCTTAATGCAGCTGTTCCCGTCCTTTATTCAGTTTCCACTTTACAGTGGAACCCCAACTTACGAAATTAATTCATTCCCGAGGGTCTTTCGTAAGTCGAAAATTTTCGTAAGTTGAAGCACCCATTGCACCTTTTAAGTGAGGCGATGCTGAACGATAGGCTATAGGCTAATTGCTAACTAGAACAACAATACGTCGTTCAAGTGGAACAGCGAAGCTCAAGTACGGAAGCCAAGGGGTTGTCACATGATTTGGAAGGCATTGTGGGCATTGTAGGCTCAGCCAATCAGAGCCCGCAGATTTCGTTACACGGGCATTTTGCCGTAACAGGGCAGAAATATATTGCCGTTCAGTGCCTTCGTAACTTGAATTTTTCGTAATATGGGGTATTCGTAAGTCAGGGTTCCACTGTACTATCACGCTCCTGTCCTTGTTGCGTGATAGTACAGTGGAACCCTGACTTACGAATCAGAATCAGAATCAATTTTCTGATTCTGATTCTGATTTGTAAGTCAGGGTTCCACTGTACTATCACGCTCCTGTCCTTATGTGCAGTAAAAAAAAGTTATGTCCATATCAACATTGTAGACTGCGTTGCTATTTCCTCCACGCCCTGTGAACTGAAATCATTGGATTGTAGTGAAAGTGCAACAGGAACCACTAAGCATCAACAGGCAGCTAGACTAACAATTCCAAGGAACTGAACTACTAGATTCCTGATTCCCATCCCTAGATCCTGAAGGACATTTGGATCTGAATGGGTCAGTGATGTTTTCTTGAGTGGCTGAAGACACTATCTCCCAGTTTTTCATACTCCATACATTTCTGAATCTGCATCCAGATCTTAATCAACTCAAAACTCATCATTTAAATTTGGGTCGATATGAAACTTCCTTAAAGGATGACGAATGGGTTTATTTTTATTGCACAAAAAACGATAAAATTGATGCAAATATGTTAAATGAACACCAAAGATCGCCTGGGACCGATAACAACACAGTTCCCCACCAGCCCCATGATGCAACCTACACAGCATAGCATAACATGTCTGTGCCTGTTTAAGACTTCTGCTGTTTTCTCAGCTTGGGGTGTGACATGTAGTGGGCTGGTTTTCCCAATACTCCTATCTGACTCTTATTTAATCCAAAAGAATCCTGTAGGATAATTCGGGGTCGTCCCCTACAGCTGCAGGGTTCCTTCAAAGCTAAAACCATTTCGGGGGGATTTTTATTTTGTAAGTACTTGCGGTATCTGTTTGATGAATTTTATTAGTGTTGAGTTCAGATAGAAATACACACTTGAACCCAGACAATGCTACTACTAATAATGCAGTCTACGGTATATAACTAATGTCCATTCAGCATAACATTTAAACAAAAAGTAGCATAAAGGTTGAATTTTTATATCTCATGGAGACGCAAGTCATCAGTTTGCTGTTTAATGTAATGACATCTTTGGAAAATCACCATTGATAGTTTTTTGGGTTTTTTTCTTTTTCTAGGAAAATAGGTCAAAAACAGAGTTTTTACAGTTCCAACAAGCTTGAAAGTCAGTATTTGGTGTGACCACCTTTATTCTTCAACACAGCCTGAAAGCTTTTAGGAAAGCTTTCCTGTTGTTTCTTTAAGTAGTATTCAGGAATAGTTCTCCAGGCTTCGTAGATGGATGTTTCTCCCTCCCACACTGTTTCAATAATGTTGAGGTCCAGGCTCTAGGGAAGCCAGTCCGTGACTGATAGTGTTCCATTGTGTGTTTTTCTATTCAGGTGTGATTTTTATTGCATTGGCAGAGCGTTTTGAAGGAAGCTGTTACCAATCTTTGAAAATAGTGGATCAAAACTTTACTTTTCTATGACAAGTACAACATCACTGGCTGAAATGGAGCCCCAAAACATGACAGAGCCTCTACCGTGTTTTATAGATAGCTGCACCCCATTCCAAGATGTGCCAAGATTTGATCTAATCGCTATTTAGGAATCACCTTGTTGGTGCAAAATACAATTTTATTTCCATCCATTTGTATGGCAAATGTATGAAAAATGCCAACTCTTTGGCATTTTTCATGGATTCTGCAAAAGAAATAGGAGCAAATGGTGGGGTTTTTTTGCCACAGGCTTCCAGTAACAAAGTCCCCAAAAATACAATTTAAAAGTGGTTCTTTGCTTTTATGTATAGACCCAACAGCAGTCCATCCATTTAGTTTGGTGCCGTTCTTATCCTTGAATGATTCATAGATCAATGTTAAGTAGCTTAATAAACAAACAACCAAAAATCATTCATCTGAAAATGGTCAGGTACGAGGACTGGACTGAAAATTAGTAAAACAAAAAAATGTTGAAGACCTTCAGAAAACCCTGGAAACCTTTGCCCTGGAGCACTTACATATCATACAAACACAAATACATATCAAAAGCCAAATACTTTATATATTAAAAGTACCTACAGAAACCTTTTTAGTTAGCATACGATGGTATGACCTCCAGATTTAAAAGATTTGATAAATGTGATGGATCAGATCTCTGTGCTGTTTTAACTTTCCAAATTCGTCTGTGATGCCTCACCAGTGCACCATGCAGATCTTGTTTCAATTCAATTTCAATTCAATTTTATTTATATAGCGCCAAATCACAACAAAAGTCGCCTCAAGGCGCTTCATAGATACAGAGAAAAACCCAACAATCATATGACCCCCTATGAGCAAGCACTTTGGCGACAGTGGGAAGGAAAAACTCCCTTTTAACAGGAAGAAA